AAAGAAGAATAAATATTCATAAAATAGTTTTCTAAAGTCGGTAGAGAGAAGATAGAAGGCACATTTTATTCTGAACAATTATTTTGCAAAGAACTTTCCTTAGATGCACCACTTAATTTCATTAATCACAATGCATTTGGGACGCACGATAGGTGTTCAGCACCATGGTTTTTAAGCTTTATACCAGTAAAATTAAATATCTTAAGTACACAACACGACTGACTATAGACTGGGCGATTGGGGTTTGTTCGCCGACAAGGCAGAGAATTGTTCCTCTAGCCTCTGCGTCTAGACCGGCTCTGGGGCCTATCCAGCCAATTGTCCAAAGAGTGCCAGAATCCTTTCTGGGAGTAAAGCACAGCTGGGATGTTATGTTGACCACTCATCCCATCTAGTGCTGAGGTTAAGAATGAGTAGCAGCCATGCTCCCCCCCCCCCCCCCCCCCCCAAGTGCCTACATGGTGTGTAGCTGGACAGCTTTGCTTTTAGTTACACAACATGACAAATTACTAATATATAGTGCCTTAAAAACAAATGTAAATTACCAGGTTACTGAATTGAATATGGTATCCATCAAACTGGGCTTAGATTTTGGGGGAAAACTTATACAGTATGTCCACAAAGTCCCTTCGGGGTTTTGAAAAATTGTGGCACGCAATCAAATAGAGCTAGCCACATGCGGTTTGCAGCAGATTACAGTGAAACTCTGGAAAATGGTGCTCCACCTCATTGGGGACTACAGGTATGCGCATACCTATACAGGACATTTCCAGGAAGATGGATCGGCAGAGATGGTCCAATGCCTTGGCCTCCACGTTCACCAGACATAACACCACTGGATTTTTTCCTGTGGGGTTTTGTCAAGAGCAATGTGTTCCGAACACCAGTTAACGGACTTGATGACCTGAAGACCCGTATCAGGAATGCGATCTCGGCTATTCCAGCGGACATGCTCCACAGAACATGGCAAGAGCTCGAATATCATCTGAACGTTCTCCGCGCTACCAAGGGAGCCCACATTGAGGTCTACTGAGGTCAGTAAAAAACTTGAAGAGTTTCACTGTAATCTGCCGCAAACCGCTTGTGGCTAGCTCAATTTGTTTGTGTGCCACAATTTTTCAAAACCCCAAAGGGACTTTGTGGACACACTGTATATCATTTTATGGTCAGTGTAGAGCATTAATGTGGTATTGCATTTTATTTATGCTTTGGTTCGGTATTGCTGACCAAATACAATTTCTATGCTGTTGAAATAAAAACATGTAGACATTTTGATTATACAGTAGTTAATTTCTCATGCATTCTCATTTAAATTGGGAAAAAAATTGTTTAAACAAATAATTTTGGATTAGCTCAGTCAGCATAGTGACTAGTTTATAGACTGGGTGACCAGGGTTCAATTCCTGGCAGGGCAGGGATTTTCTCTTTGCTCTTCGGCTCATCTAGCCTTGTATTCGGTGGGTACCAGACCCTTTCCCCCAGAGATAAAGCAGCTTGGGTGCGAAGCTGATCGCTCACCTTCGTCTGCTGCTGAGGTTAAGAATGCGTGGAGCTATACTTTTAATGTCCCGTTCATCTTCTTGAGTGATGCTTAATTAAGCCCCAGGGACAATATTTGGAAGAAACTCAAGAAGGTATTGGGTCTCCTGTTTAAAGTAGCCAAACTTAATTAATACAGGTTTTTCTGCATGTCATCTTAATCTCCTATTGATAAAACCATAACTTTAAGAACATGGGCTCTGAACGTAATTTGAAGTCCACATTAAGCTGCAGGATTTCTTTATTTGACATCATTCAAAGTAAACAGAGTTGTTCCTAATTATAGATTCTGGAATGTGTGTAGTGATAGATGTGCAAGAAATACACCAAATCTTTAGCTGGATAAGTGGATATTCCAGAATGATAATGCCCTCTCCCGTGCAGGCCTTTGGCAAAGTGGACGACAGGGGGCAAAAAAAAGAGAGAGAGAGAGAGGATATATATCAGTGAATTGATTTTTGATGAAGATATAAATTCTGTTGTTGGGACATCCACTAAGTTCACCCAATTTGTCTTTTTCTGACTTTTCATATTCATGAAACTAAAAATGTAATCAGATGTTGTCATTTTGAATTTCTTGAAGGCATTTAGAGCAATTCAACGAAAAGTACATTTGGTAAACAAATTTCGGCAATGGCAGAAATGCTGGAATGTGTCTATAAATTCAAATGGCAGTACTTAAGGGATGAACTAAGCGTAGTGGCAATGTATTTGTCAGATGTTGCATCTGTTGATTGTCTTTAAATTGCTGTTGATCATGTTGTTCTTTTGCATTTTGAAGAACTCAAAGTTTATACCGTTACAAATGCGTTCATATGTGAATACAGGTCATAATATACATAATTTTCAGGAATGTGAAAAAATGTTTGTCAGATATTTGTTTCCACATTACTGGAATTTCCTGAAGTCATAGGAGAAAAGAGAAAGTCTGAACAGTTTTTCAGGAATCTTGTTAACATTAAAGGCACTTTAAAAAATTCAGGCCATTTATTTTTTGTATCCACTGTGAGAAGCAAAGAACCAGTTTTATAATTTTTTTACCAAAATGTTGAAATAGTGTGTCAGCTTTTTTTTTTCTTCTTCTTCTGAATATCAGTTGTGCATTCTGCTTTTAAAGGGATTGAGGAGAGTATCACAGTACTTTGGTTGAGGCCCCGACCTATAATATGTAATTTCGCCAGAGTTAGAGCAAGAAAGTTCAATATGTTTAGTTATTTTTAAGTAGAAGGCAATCATAGTGGCCATCACAAAGTTTGATGTTTCAAGGTCATGCACCCTCTTTATCATTTCTTTACGGTGCTGCATTGTAGTGATAAAGAACCAAGAAACGTAGTGGTAATATCTTATTGAACCCGTTACAAATGAAAATGTTACAGCAGGTTGAAGTGAGGAGTCTCCAAATTGTTCAAATCTAATGAAACCTTCAGAACTTACTCTTCTGTACCCTTGAAATATCAAATTTCATGATGGCTACTTTAACTATGTGTGACTTGATACGACCTGATCCGCATTTACAGCCTGTGTGTTCTGTAATACACGAAAAGTTTAAAGCAGTGGTAATTGCACAAGGACTGCATCTTTTTCCATTGAAATAATTATCTTTCTTTTGTTGATTGTCTTATCTGTGGATGCAGCACATAGGCCTGCCTGCATGTTCTTTAATTTTCTCCTGTATATCTGCTTTGGGTATATTTCGAAGCACGTAATTCCCTTTCTCGTGGTTCGGTACTTCACATTATTGTCCAAATTTTCGTAGATTGCTTTAACTATCTTAGACTCCGTATATATTTCATAGCATTAAATACAAATATGACTGCCATGGCGTCTGTGTGGTGGTAGGAGGTTTCGTGGGAAGGTTTGGCTCCGTTACACAGATTCCCACTACAGTAACAGTACTCGGTTGATGGTGTCTTGACGCCCTGGGGTTCACTGGGGTGACACCCTTCAGCGTAAACTGTTTCTTCAATTACAGTCTTCATTTTCCATTGTGTTCCGTCGTATGACTGGTAGCTATTTTGTTGTGGAGCGCAGTCACGAAGAACTCCTCGCACGGTTTCTGAAAATCATTTAGGAAAAGACTGAAGTAACTCACGCTTTAGACTCCGCTGCATGACTCTTCACAAGACATGCGTGTGTATGCAAGTGGAATGTACGAGGGGCGTATACAAATGATTTAGACTAACCTGAATTATGTGATCCTTGATGGCTCCCAGGTTACACTGTGGCCTGTTCCACATATTCTCCCTGGAGGTCGATGCACCGTTGCCACATCTCTAGCCGAAGTGTAACCTGGGAGCCACCACCAAGGATCACTTAATTCAGGTTAGTTTAAATCATTTGTATACGCCCCTCGTATATGAAATAAGAAAGGAGAGACCATATAACATGTGACTTACGCAAATGGAAGTAATAATCTTGAATATAAATGTATTAACAAAAATCATAATGTAGGAATTTCATATTTCTAGTCACGAGACCTTGAAAATATAATCTGAAATTTGTCGCTTACGTACTCATTACATAAATGCGGAAAACTAACACCTCTTTTTAAGTTTTACCATCGCTACAACAAAAGCCCACGACCGTATTATATACCTCGTGCAACTTTAACACGTTTTACGCCACAAGTTAGTTCTTGAAAATCCTTTCTTGCGTCTGCAGTTTGGATGAAAGATTCAGAATTGTTGTTACGGTTATGAACAGTGATCCAGTTAAGGAATCAGCGGCTTCCTCCCAGTGAACGATTCATTATTGACAGAGACGTGGCAAATATAAAAGTTTGATTTTTAAAATATTAATTTAGAAATTATGGCGTGATTAGAATAGTGAGTTTGGAAGTTGAGTTGTTTGTTGATGTCGCTTAGGTTGTATATAGTATTCAGTGACAGAATAATTCTGAATGGAAAGTTAGGATGCAAATGTTTTTGGACCTGTTTTAACACATTGCAGTCTTCCTTGGCCTGGAATATCGGTTTAAATAGAGCAGGTCGCAGGTAGCACGAGGGAATATGATGTCTGGTCAGGGTGTAGATCTGTTGACATTGTGACTGACCGTGAGTAAGTAAAGCTTAATGTTAAACTGCATTGGGTTAAGGAACTATCCCCACATTTGCCTGTAGGAACTGGAGAAAGCATCAGAAGTCTCAGCCAAGCCATGGTCAAAATCAGAAACTGCGAAGGCAGCTGGGATTTATGTATTTTACCTTCTGAATTTCATACAATACTTACTTCCTTTTTGTAGAGGTAATTCAAATGTTCTCTTCATGCAAAATGTGGAGTAGTTGCATTCAGTTTCGTAGAGAGATGAAGCATTGAAGTGAGAACACAGCTGAGCACTCTCGTTAATTTTGGGCGATTGCGGGTGAATGAAGCACCGATAACACCTGAGAGCCATCGCACCTGACACTGAAACCAGTAAAAGATAAAACTTATACATCTTATTTTAAATACGAGCATTATCACAATAGAAAGATTATATTGGATGTTGTCAGTTGTCTGATCTTGAATTATTTAGGGACATCTCTTGCCTCTGCCAGTGATTCTGAGGTATACTGGCTCTTCCATATAATCTGGCCTTAAATTTTGTGCTGTTTCATACGGTATATGTTTTAATTAACCTGAATTAACATCATCTGATTTTATTCACAGCCGTTGTAATTTATGATAGATGCGTTACAGCCCTGTAAAATTTCACTTTGATACAGAAGTTTACAGTTGCTGAACTAATTTATGGCCTTGTTTCCTTCTTTGGAGATCATGTAACATGTTTTGTTTGTTGTATTTACTCTCTACTTCGTGGAAGATATTAGTCATTAAATGTTAGTAACTTTGTGTGTTATATATGTTTTTTTGTTTGTTTGTTTACTGGTACTGAAAAATTAATAAACCTTGGCTGCGGGAAGTGTGTGTTGACCATGAAAGATGCCGTGTCACGGCGGTGAGTACAAAGATGGCTGTCGTCTCGGTTGTCCGGTAGAAGTTTACCAACGCTGCCTCCATCATCGAAACTTTGGTAAACTGCCTACACGGCACTACATTCCAGAAGGCAGCCATTTTTGGACTCATCGCCGTGAAAGCCGCAAATCCCACTTCCAGCATGTACCAAGGAAACTCAAGGCCGTTTTGGCACATGACAGACCTTCAATGAAATATCAGTGATCTGGTAAAGTAAAAGAAGGCGAAAATCCGAACTGTCGTACATTGAATTTGCCAGTTGCACGTAAGTGGGGCGATTGCAAGGACAGAAAACATTTTCAATACGAAGATGAGTTCGTTGACTTGTAGTAGGTCAGTTTAGTCGTCAAAAAGGTGGTTTAACCGAGGTACTAGGCCAGGTGAGTTTTTTTTTTGGGTCGCGTCTCGGTAAATTGCCGTTACCTTGAAGTGGATTTGAAGTGATAAACCGTTACACGGATAATCATTGGCTTTACAGTTATGAACCAGTCACAGTTATACCATTAAGTTAAGTTAGATGAGAGGTGTGGCCAGGTGTTCATGAAGTCCCTGTGCTTAAATTCACCCTCTGAAATGCAATGATAAATATGTAACGCTGTATTTTTGTGGGTTTTTAAACGGAGGGTTAAGCACCACATCATGAAGACGTATGGACGGCGGAGGTATAGCTCCACGAATTTTTGACCACGGTGCTGGATGGGGGAGCGTTAATTTTTATGTTTTGCTTTATCGCGACGAAGTTACCAAGTTCAGGTCTCGGCATAATCCCTAATTGTACTGACAGGGTTTTTATATTTTCCAAACGAATTCCTAGTTAGAATCTTAAAACAGCTGACGACTACTTGCTCCATATTTATTTCCACTTCACCTCACATGACCGTCCTCTGATCACATTTGACTGTGAAAAACCTTCTCAGTTGATATCGCCGTTAAATAACCTGCGGACCGCTTCGTCTAAGAAATTAATTCTTAATCTGTGTTATGCTGTGATGACAGTACTGTTCAAGTCATTTACAAATTTTTGTATTTTATAGTGTACAAGCAATTAAATATAATTTTTAACCCATGCTTTGTCAGTTAACAACATGAATTCATCATTGTGTGAATTATCACAGGAATTTATTATGCCAATGAGTATAACCTCCAGTATTGATAATGCGTGTATCATGACTGGCCTTCGATTCGCGTGGTCGTTTAGTGGCCTGACTTTTATCTGCCCGACAAGGACACTTCAAAGTTCCTCTTACCACGCGCACAGCAAAATAATGCGAACATTTGTTTTGTTGGAAGGAGGCTGTTATGGCGAACTGAGTGGCAGTGGAATAGGTTTTTTCAGAGTCCTTCGGTTTTTTCGTATTAGTATCATTCCACATCTACTCTGTATTTTACTCGTGTATCATCTGGGGGGAATAGTGTGTCCGGATAGCCCTAGAATCTGATCTCTTGACAACATCGTTAATTAAATCACAAATAACGCAGACATGCCGGGGAAGTAGCTTAAATCAGGTCACGACAGCTTTTCGCATCTTTTACAATTAACCATCGTCATATTGTTCGACGCTGTGTAGTTCGAGCTATTAACAGCGTCTTAAATAAATCATGTGTGGAGTACATATTTACTTATAAAATATATGCAATTAAAAGAGGTCAAGGCTCGAGCAATGCTAGGTGGTTAAATAATATTTGTTCGTGTCGTTATACCCAGACGTAAAACTTAAATATACTGTCCCATGCCCTGGTTTGTTCTTGTGGAATAAAGCAGACAATTTCTATTACAGTCTGTTCATTATGTCAAGCCGTTGATTTGCCGGTCTTAAAGGCGAATAATGCATTTTATGTTGCCAACAAAGCCGGTTGTGGTCACCGCAAATTGAACTGACAGATTTGTTGTAGAGACAGGTAAATGGTTACAATGGGACAGACAGAAAGTTCGTCCCTGTCACGCGTTATTGCTTTTAACCACCTTTGTGAAGGAGGAAGTAGGGATGCTAGAGTTCGATGGGACCGTCGATAACAATCGATCGCCTTGCTTTCAACGACGAAGAGCCTCTCGTGTTTTGACACTGATTCAAACATGGAAGCTATCAATCCCCTACCCGACAGCAACTGAATTATTGTTGACACAAATAAATGACTGTATGACTGGACATATAATAATAATCACCAGGAAAAAGGTTTGTTCTCTGATAGAAAGTAAACATACCCTTCTGTGCTGGACGAGAACCATCGCTGTAACGTAAAATGGTATTATACAAACTGATTTATGCTGGGACTCATGTAAGAATGAACAAAGTATAGGTATTACATAACCAGCATGATCACCTTGTAACGTTAAATGATGGCTATCTTCGGGTATGGTGATCCGTGCAATCCCGTAAAAATTGATCGACTTTTCAGATGTGCTTACTGCCTCCATTATCAGGACGATGAATAATCCGCGCGTTTTTTTTTCGCAGAAGACATTTTCATACTCGACGCCGTGAGAACATAAAATTTCACCGTGTAAGATTCTTTTCCTCTCGGAATATCAAAATTAATGAATGGTTTAATGACATTGATCAAAGATATTTACCGTGGTCGTAAGGCAAATCTTTACATTGTGTATTTATTAATAGGTTGATAAATATTCGATTCTAAGTGCGAGAATCGCTACAGTTTTCGATTCTAAGTGCGAGAATCGCTACAGAGTCAGTCGTGTCGATTGTTTCTGTTGTCGTATGTTCTAAAGCACGAGTCATGAGTCGCTGTGCAGTCCGCCCTAGATATAGATCGATAGGCGCTGATCTAAGCAGTTTGCAGGCAAGACATGTATCCTGTTGGCGTGTCACGATGATGTGACATAAAACAAACAACAGGCTTACAACTGTTTGTTTTTTTTCATTTTTTTGAAGTTAGGTTAGAAACATCGCGGCCGAGTGCTTCGAATGTCCGAAGTTACTTATTTAAACATTTTAATATTTTACTGCACCAGTCGGTTGGGTATACAAATCAAAACATTGTAATGATTGATGTTTGTATTCTTTCTCTCCCTAGTTTAAATATTAATTGACTTCCCATATCTGTATTTTGATAAGATATGCCGTCTCTTACAGTGGAATGTTGCTGGGCACCAAACTCCGATATTTTCGTCCTTAACCACTAACACGTGGTCTCTGCCGTCGCTATGAATAACACAACTGCAACTTAATCATTATTAACCCAGTTCTAAGGGAACTTCTGTTAAGGCGTCGGTACTAATTTATTTAGCACTGAACGTGCCATCGCAAGGCTGCCAGAGAGCGAACCCAAGATATGTCATCCCTTAGCCGTTTCTGATCTATCTTGCGTGAATGACTCCATATGTAAAGAATCGTGGGAGGTTAAAGAAATGCCAGCGTAGTTTATGCATTGGTAAGATGCATCATCAAGTTTAGAACTTGAAATCTTCACATAACTGAGCCATGACGTCAATGAGTACTGTGTAATGACATGCACAGCAAATAACGAGAAGTCATAGACCTACAAGACGATGGAGACGTATTTCGAGATTGCTGACCGCTCTAGTGTTCATTTCATTTTAGTTTAATACCAATGTAAATATCGCATTGATTATGGATGCAGCAAGCACATCTGAAACGTCGACCATAGTACATGGCACAACAGCCCAGGTCCTGAAAGTAGCCGTCTTATTTAACCTAACTCGCTGGTAGCCGACCATCCGCGACTTTTCCTTTTGCAAACGTAATCTTTTTCTCGAAATGTTTTATATTATTCTCAAATTGAATTCGAACGTGGGGAGTTCCTTGTAACTCTACAAAATAACGAATTGCTTGTGCCTTCTAGTCCATCTATGGGAATCTTTACTGTAGACATTAGTTGGCCGATGTTCGTGTTTCAGCCCTGAAGATGGAGACATATCCATAAGGCGTTCCTAGCTAGGACAGCATTTTATTCTTTCTGAGTTTATAATCCGCATGCGTCTGGAAGCCTGCACGTGTGGCATATGACAAAAAATCTTCTGAGAATTTAGGCCCCTGTCCAAGAGCGTTCTTTATAGCCCAGTTGCTCATTTCTTGTAAGTCCTCCCGCTGCACTTCTTTTTATAGCAAGTCTTAATTGACGAAGTCTCTTCTTGGTGGAAGTAACAGCGTTGTAGTGTTCTATTCGTTGCCATATGTGAAGAAGTGTGCCTGACTAAACGGGGGTGTCGTGGAGTACAGTCATCATCAGTAAATGAAACTTAAACGAAGTATAAATGTTTCGACAGTGGTTTGTTGTCATGAACATGATTATTTTGTACGTTGTCCATCGTCATAATATTTTCCAAACAAAACGTTTCGGAAGTTTGATCTGTTATCGTCGTCAGGTAATCAGGGGTCTGCAGTATATGAGAGAAAGACTTTCCTTTACACAGCTGTCGATTCGTGTCGTTATGTTTCATTGTGAGTGTATTCAACTCCACTCTTACGAAC